AAAGGCAGGATAAGTGCTCAATTCTTTAGTTACACTGAAAATATTCGGCCTTGCCTAGCTACAACTAATAACAAACTCTTGGATATGTATGTAACCAGTGCAATTCAGTCTGTTGTAGTTCTTACTCTTTTTGGTGCTCAGATTGTTCCCTTTTCATCCAGTGAGAACTTTTTTAATGCTGACTCCTCTATATCTTTGAATTGTTTCACTTGACTTTAGACTTTTATGTGACTTACTTATTTGTTTTTAGGTACAGGGATCAAACTCAGGACCTTATGCTTGTCAGGCTGGCACTAAAGCAGTTGAGCTATCTCCCCAGCCCGACTTTAGACTTTTAATAGTGTATCCTTGGTATCTAGCACAGAATGTGCTGAAATCTGCCATTCCTCTAAAAAGCCTCACTTCTTTTCACAGCAAAACATGTATTAAAATTACAGTATGATGCTAAAAATGCTTATTGTTATAACATTTTTTATTATCCCTAGGCCTTTTCAAGGGACACTGAAAGCAAATGCTTTTTTTTTTTTTTTGCAAAACTGGGGATTGAACTCAGGCCCTTGAGCTTGCCAGGGAAGCGCTTATTCCACTGAGCCATCTCCCCGGCCCCAATGCTTTCTTTTTTGCAATAAATATAAAACTTTCTTTAGTGAGATATATGAAATTGTTTTTGAGAAGTATCATAAGAACACACTTTTGAATTTAACTTTAATATTACATGGATGAAAATCATTGTTCTTAATAACTCCTTTTGTTTTACCCTTAATAGTTTGAAAGTACAGTAATAGCATCTATAGTTCTACTAGCAATAAGACTATTGTTTGTTTGTTTTTGCAGTACTGGGGATTGAACTCAGGATCTGTGCTTGCCAGGCAAGCATTTATTCTACTGAGCTATCTCCCTGGCTCTGCAATAAGACTCTTAAATGAAGCTTAAGATTTTTTGTAGTTCTAATTATCTTTTTGTCAGGCAGGCACTTATTCTACTGAGCTATCTTCCTGGCCCTGATCTATTTGAGAATATATTCTACTATGAATGAATACATTGTTTTCTTGTCATTTAATTATTCACTTAATGTGATTGTACTATCAACTTAATATGTGGCTAGACTTGTTCAATTTTCAAATTTTAATAATTGCATTTTTAGATTTAAAAATTATTTTGAGTATAATATATATACATATGATTCTATAGACAATGTTTATTCGGAGTACTCTAGCTTATATAATCATCTCCTCTACATGTTCTCACCTGTCCAAATATAGGTAAATAGGGTTAGCCAAATAGCTCAGCAGATTGAAGTGCCTCCAAGCAGGCACAGGGGCCGGGGGTTGTCTCCCCAGGCCTACCATGCCGGCTCCGCCCCCGTGGCACGCTGAGACTGTAATTGAGAGGGTGTGGTGGCTTGTGCCTGTAATCCCAGCAGTTGGGAGGCTGTAAACAGGAGACTCACTGCAAGTCCAATCTAGTAGTGAGACTCTGAATACCCTGTAGACCCTTCCCTAAAATTAAAAAAAGGTAAATATATATTCATAGTTCACCTATCTTACAAAAAGTCTACTATATTTTCTGTACTATGTGAGTGAGTGTGTGCATGTTTTAAAGCTAATATGTATCCTGGGGATCATGCCACATTGTGTAAAGAAATGGCTCTGGCATTTTTTCACCAGAGTAGTGCATTTTGTTTTGTGGATCCACCCTTATTTATTCAACCAGTTCCTGACTTATGGTTATATGGATTGTTCCAGTCATTTTCTGCAATGAATAACCTGTGCATAAATCATCTTGCATTTTGCAGTAAGTTCCTAGAATTGGGATTTTTATGTCAGAAAGCAAATGCATGTGTGATTTCATTAGTGATTATCCAATTCCCACACATAGGTTCTGTGTAGCACTTCACATTCTCGGTGGCACCATGCGCCATCCCTATTCCTCAAAGCCCACCAACCAAATAGTTGGCCAAACATTTGCAGTTTTGCTAATCTGATTACTTGTCTTCTTTTATCACCCTGCTCTATGGCACAGCAAGATGATTTCATCTGCTTTTGGAAGAACTCTCTTAGGATGAACAATAGGTTAAGGTTGTTGGAAAGAGAGTGGCTGCAGTTTCTCTATTTCCATTCTCCTAAACGTGGAAACACCAAAATCCTCAACACTGCTGTCCTAGGTAAGACCTTGTATTTCCAAAGGTTGGCTTAGGTTTATAGCCAAATACAACAAGGCATCAAATATGACCTCCTCTCTTTTCAAAGTCTGTAGACTGCAAAGGGGCAGGGAAGTATAATCTCTGTATTGAGAAAAGAACCTGAGAAGATTGGAGAAGGAATCACACATGTGATTCATAAGATAGTGATCCGTAAGATGGAACCACCATCTTATCATCTTGTTGTCTCTGGAACAACCCTAGGGTCAAGGGGAAGTTCCTGCGAACGCTGGAGGTTTCTACAGATTGTGGAATGGCCACAATCCTAGAAGGCTTCCTACATTTAGGAAGCTTTTAATGCTGTGTAGGAGTACGTGTCATGCATGGACATTCATTTTTCTTTCAGCATTTCTCATATTCCACTGGGCTGTTTTGCCCGAGAGGCAATGTTTGGAGTCATACCTGGCTGCTGTGTTTAGAAGGGGGACTTTTGGTACCTGGTGGGTAGAAGTGAGGGATGCTGCTAAACATCTTACGGTAATCATGAAGTCTCCCATCTACTGCCAACAAGTAATTAATATGGTCTAAAATGTCAATGACATCGAGATTTAAAGACATGCTGTAGTCCCACTTTAGTGGTAGAGCAAGGACAGAATCATAGGTACTGCCCCTTGTTGCTCATCCATAAGTCATTAGCATTTGGAGATTTGAAGCTCATGAAGATAGAAGGAATTATATATTTATCTGAAAGATTAAAGAACAAATATCATTTTAACCTTCTAAAAACTGATTATCATTAAGTATAATGTAACCTTTTAAATCTAAGCATAAGGAAAGTGCCGATTATTTAAGGTAAATGGGACCAAAAGTCCCATGAATAATCAAAAACTTGGTTAATAGAGTATGACCAGAGAATAACGCACTTGGCTTCTGTGGAGAAATGAAAGTACATGCTGTGAATTGGTATTAAGGAAATTGCATGAAAAGTTACTCTTAAGGTGCCATGATTCTGAGGAAACAGCCTCAGGTGCCCAATATATCACACTCAGCCTCTATCAATCCTCGTCTTTTCACGGCTTTCACCTTGGCTAACCCAGAAGCTCAGGCCTTGAAAACTTTTTGGAATGGTAAAGTATCTCACTCTCCACTTATTTTCATTTAGGAACAGACTTGAATTTTATTCTCAGTTTATCTCTTTCACAGACATTATTTTCGAACTTTGGCTTACCTCACTTATTTTGAGGGGAAAGTTTTTTTAATATTTTAAGCATAATTTACCCTAAATAAAATGTACCCTAAACAATACCTTTCAATAAAATAGAATTTTTAATTGCAAAATAAATTCATCAAAGGGGGTCTGAAATGAAACTTTTGCAGGGAAATGTGTCTTGTTTGGGAACAAGTCTGGTTGTCATAGTTTGGAAGGGGTACTTCTGGCGCCTAGTGAGTACAGGCCAGCCAAATAGAACAGAACATTTTTTTAAAAAGTGAAAAGCTGCTCATTAATTTGACCTTTTCCTAAGGGTCATCTTTTCTCATCCTCACAAGCAGCGTGCGTGGATCACCACAAGGGATTAAAGGGCCTGTGTGTGGGCCCGGCCCCCAGGGGCGTGCTGAGCTGGGGATTGAGTCTGGGCGTGGCCCGTAATCCCAGCATTTGGGAGGCTGAAAACGATCTATGTAGTAAAACCCTGTAGATCCTGTCCTAAATACATTATGAAAAAAAAAAATCAACCATAAATTTGAAAGGATTTTCAATCTGGAGTTTTAGGAGCCTTTTGTATTGATTCAGCAATACATTCTTTGTTATCAACAAGGGTTAATTAACGCTTGTTTTGAGTGAGGAGGAAGGGGGCCCAAAAGGCTAGACACATCTGAAGAAAACAGGTAGCATTACTGAAATAACCACATTGACTGTGTTCCTCTAGGCGTGAAAGGCAAAGACCGCAGTTCAATGTTACGGTTTAAAATCCAGACTGTCTGGATTCACACCCTTGTCTATTGTTGCCAATCTGCAATTTACACAAACGGGTTGTACCTCAGTTTCCTCATAAAAACAGGGAAGACTAGTATTATCTGCTTAATGTGGTTGTTTTTGAGGATTAAGTGAGCTAATACATGAAAAGCTCTGGAATCCTGGGTGGTGAGTGGAACCCCAAGAACAGGCATAAGAGAGAAAAAAAAAAATTGAGGCGAGGGACCGGGGCAGGGCACGGGCCACGTGCCGTTTCCTTATATCCTTCATTTTGCGGGAGGCACGGCTGTTCTATCCCCGACTACACAGACAGCAAACGGAGGCTCTGAGACGATGTTGATGATTTGAACAACGAACCGAGGGCATCTTCCCTGCCGGCTGGTCTAGGGCTCAGCCCACCGCGGACCTGTCATTCACCGCCCGCAGCCCAGCACGCCGCGCACATCGGGCAGCCGCCCTCACGCGGGTTCACTGCCACGACCGGGCACAGGCCGGGGACAGGCGGCGGACAGCGACGAGGGGCTTCCGGGGCGGGCGATCCTCAGTGGGGCGCCCTTCTGGCGGGCAGACTAGACCTCGTCCACGAGCAAATCCTGTAGTACGCCCACTCTGTGCTGGGCACTGAGAATACTAATGAGCCTCGGGCAGGCTCGCACGCCAGGCGCTGGGAGCCCAAGCCGCGCCCACGTCGTCGCCTCTCCACAGCTGAACCCCTCCGGCCGCGACCGACCGCAGCTTTCATCCAACCGCTCGCCTTCCGGAGCCCGCCCACAAGGCTCCGCCCCTTTGGGAGTTCTCGGCTCGCCGTAAAGTAGGGCGCGTTCTTTGCCACTCGACATACAGCCCGCCTCCTTCTTTACGGCAGGTCGCATTCCACGCTGCCAATATGGCCTCCTCCATGTAGACAGTGGCGGTGGTTTCTACTGCCGTTGGCCGGGGGCAGTGCTGAGCTGGTGCTATTATCCGTTTACCCGGGGCTGCTGAGAACAGCAGTTAAAGTTCCTTTTGGATTACGGTTCAGGAAGCCACCGTCCTTTGAGGGACAGGAATCACCGTTTACATTTAGTTCCTGCAAGTTCCTTGTTGGCCCCTGGTTTCTTTCCCGAGCCACCTCCGGAGATTCCCAGGTTCCCGGCCCTCCTAGACTTAGATTATGAGCCTTCGGCAGCAGTTGATGCGCTTGCCCTGTTATCTCGGGGTCTCGGGGCCCTGTTGTCTACGTCGCCTGTGGTGGTTCCCGTCTGCTGTGGGCTCCTGGCGTGGTCAGTCCTCCAGGTCCCCGACCCACTGGAGCCAGGTTGTGTCAGAGGCGGAGAAGATCGTGGGCTATCCCACATCCTTCATGAGCCTCCGCTGCCTGCTGAGCGACGAGCTCAGCAACATCGCTATGCAGGTGCGCAAGCTGGTGGGGACGCGGCACCCGCTGCTTAGCACTGCCAGGTGAGCGACCCCCTCTCCCTCCGACTCAGCGACGCATTCAGTTCTCTTGCTGGCCAGCGAGCCCACCGTACCACGCTCAACTAGCTCCCTGCCAATCTTTTCTCTCTCATCCCTCCGCCCTCCTACACGTTCCTTTTCTGCGCTTCAGTTCACATACTCTTCAGCCACTTAGCCAAGTGGATAAATGGGTTTTCTTACGAGGAACAAGTGTACTTTTCGAGATTTTGCTTAACTATTGAAAGTTAAGATGCTTCAGTGATTTGTGGAGAAATGGAGCAGGGATGTTTCCCTAAACAATAACAATTTAAAATTTGCTCACTTTTTCTTACAAATCTAGTGGTTTACTACATATGGCTTTATTTTATTTTTATGTATTTAGTGCAGGGTCTACAGGGTCTCACTCCACAGCTCAGACTTACAGTGATCCCCTTGTTTTCAGCCTCCCAAGCACTAGGATTTGTCACTTTGTAGACATGGCCTTTAAAAATGAGATTAATTTTCAGTTTCACTATTCAAAGAGTCATTTTCAGGAAGAGTAGAGAAGGAGAAATGGGCTGAAAGTTAACAGTTCTTGTAAAGGAATGTTCAGGTTTGAAAGAATCCAGGCAGTAGTCATTATCTTGAGATTTTTATCGTTTTTGCTAGACTACTGCTCTGAAATGTGCTGTTAAAGTTGTAAACCCCCAGTCCACTTCAAAACAAAACCCTGCACCTTCTAATTTATGTAGTCAGTTTCAAGCATACACAAGTTTCAAGAATAAAAATAGCACAGAGAACGACTTGTTTACTCTTTAATCAGATTCACATATTATTCATGTGGATATATGTGTTTGTGGATTTATGGATTGCATACATCAGAGTTCTTTACCCTGAATCCTTAAGTATGTACTTCATAAGCACTGGGATATTTTCTTGTGTGTATAGTGCAGTTACTATCTTAGGTACATTTAATATTGATAACAATACTTTTAGTGTCCTTTTAGCAGTCTTTATTGTGCAGTACAGAATCCAGACTAGGACCAGGTATTGCATTTATTTCTTATCTGTAGACTCTGTTAATCAGGATACTTCTATGACTCCCCTTGGCCTTTAGGACTAGAGCAGTTGTCAACTTGGGTAACTTTGCCCTCCAGGAAACATTTGGCTGTGTGGAGACATTTGTGGTTATCACAAGTTGGAGCCTGTAGAGGCCTCAGGTACTGTCCTACAATTCCCACGATAGGCTCAAAAGAAAACCTTTTTGTCTCAAAATGTCAGTAGTGGCGATGTGGAGAAATACAGGACAGAAACCATCTTTCCTCCCCTATTTTCTAGTCAATCTTTATTTTTATTAATTTATTTATTTTGGGATTTTTTAAGACAGGGTTTCACTCTGCAGTTCAAGCTGGCTTTGAATTTACTATGGAGCTCAGGCTGACCTCAAATGTGCAGTGCTACTCCGCCTCCTAAGTGCTGGTATTACAGGTGCATGCCACCACACATGGCTTAAACTTTTCTTTTTATATAATTGTATATTTACAGGCAGAAGTCAGTAGTGATGTGGACATCCAGTATAGTCAGGACCCTCTAAATGGTAACATCTAAGTGAAATTGTAGTGTAATACCACAAGCAGGATATTGATATAGGAACAGTCAAGATGTGGAACATTCTCATTACAACAGAGAACCTGTTATTTTCTTATTGTAAAAGTTTCCAACTAGCAGTGATAAAGTAATTTTACTTATCTGTTTTTAATGATCAGATCTGTCATTTTATGATTGGGCTAAACTTGTCTTGTAGCTAGAATGCTCTCCAGAAATTCACTTCTAAGTGATAAATACTGAGTAATATCCTCAACCCTTTAAGTTTTTATTCATTCTTTAGAGATGGAGTCTCACTAAGTCACTGAGTTGCCCAGGCTGGGGGTGAACTTGTGTTCCTCTTGCCTCAGCCTAGGACTGACAGGCCACCAAGCCTGGCAATATGTGTATAGTTTAAATCTTAATAGTGACACTAATGAATGCCCCATACTACCTAAATTTAATACTATAACTTTGCCTAGCCTGTTGAGGTAACTTGTGTATTTCCTAGCCCAGTGCTGGCAAATGTTTTAGAGTTTTCAGTGATAGAAAATAGCCCTCTGCAGCTCACATGTCATAGATGCACTACCACTGTCACCGCAGCTCATCTCCTGGACTTCCCTATACTGATTTTTCCTTTTTTAAATCATGTAGATGTTTCCCTAAATAATAACAATTTAAAATTTGCTCACTTTTTCTTACAAATATAGTGGTTTACTACATATGGCTTTATTTTATTTTATTTTTATGTATTTAATGCAGGGTCTACAGGGTCTCACTACACAGCTCGGACTTATAGTGATCCTCTTGTTTTCAGCCTCCCAAGCGCTAGGATTATAGAAGCGCCACCACATCCAGTCTCTTTTCACCGTCTCAGTGTGCCCCGGGAGTGGGGCCAGCACAGCATGGCACATTGGAGATCGAATCCCGGTCCCTGTGCCAGCTTAAGCATGCACTTTAGTCCACTGAGCTATCTGGCCGGCCTGCATATGACTTATGTTTTATTTATCATTGTTTCTGAGATTCATCCCTGTTGCATATATTACTATGTTTCATTAGTTATTCATTGGTATATGGAATTCCACTATGTAAATACATTGCGGTCTTCTTTTAGTCAGCATTTGTGTTGTTTGGAGTTTTTTGTTTTATTAAAAATGCTACTATGAATGTGTTCATATGTCACTTGGTGTACAAGTCTCGAGGGTATAGATAAAAGAATATAATTGTTTCTTTCTTTCTTTTTTTTTTTTAATACAAGGTCTCACTTTGTAGTTCAGGTTGACCTTGATCTTGCAGCAGTCCTCCTGCTCCAGCCTTCCCAAGTTCAGGAATTATAGGCGTATGCCATGTCCAGTTAACTGTCTCCTTTTAGGAGATGATACCAATTTTTTTTTCCAGAGCAGTTGTACCTATTTATACTGTATCAAACATTGTTTGGGTTTAGGTAACCATGTTTTCAGGACACTAGAACCATGAGATTTCTTAACTTTTGCTAATGAAGAAGGCTTCTGTATATGTGGTGGGAATGGTATTGTCAATGATGGACTTATAGTAGTGCATTGTGAGTATTGCAGTCCCTTTAATAAAGCATTGAAGTGAAATAGGTAGAGCTAAAAAGCTTATTAATGTTTGGAGAATTGCAACTCAGTATCTTCTTAGTAGCCAGAATACCAGGTAAAGGCTCGGAGAACATCCCCTTAGAGGCCATCAAAGACACACCAGATGAATGTTTTGAGACTTTCCTGATTGCAGCTTACCCTGTCTAGTAGACACAGTACAGTGAAAGAATCAAAGAGGAACAAAATAAATAGCAAATTTACCAAAATTGTTATGATAGCATGTGCGTTATATTTTATAAGAAACAACTTAGTCTGTATTAATTTTATTGCATTTACTATGATAGCATGTTGCAAATTATTTAAACTAAGCTCATGTGGACAGTTAACAAAGAAACATTTGAGGAAGGGGTATAGTATATCCACATCTGTTTTAGCAAAGGAAGCGATTGATTAATAGATTATCAGGTAACTGCTATTATAAAGTAGAGATAAAAACATACATTAAGCAGCTATATTATTTTAGATACTGTGAACCATAATTTCAAATTTTATCATCAAAGCATTGGTAATTAAGGGTGAAATACTCTCAGTATGGTAAAAGATGCCCTGTTAGAACCTTAGAAAATTGTACTTGGGCAGTTCTTTTACAATCATAAAATGACACATTTTACTTTCTGAGTTCCTGTTGCTTAACCCTTATTTTTATAGGTTTTCTAGTATTTCATGTTCTAAATGTTCTAGCTAAACAATTCTCATTAATTGATTCAGTGTTTATTGAAATTTATAAAGAAATCCAAAGCATGGACCTCTCTCTCTCTCTCTCTGTCTCTCTCTGTCTCTGTCTCT